GCTTATTTCATGACTGGATGCTCCCATCCGTTTTCAACACTTTCCCACACACCTTTTCCAAGCGATCTTAAAAAGATTGTCATCTTTAGACTTCCAATACGAGTAGTTCGAACCGTCCAATTGCGGAGGCCTAGGCATCGATCCGCTTTCTTGATTCATGATTTGATAGTACCACACGTCCTAGAATCTTCCGTAATGAAGACAAAAACCCGCTCTGGTGCCAATTGAAATTTGATACTTGAACACCAAGTATCCAAAGTTGCACGTAAATAGAACCAACAGACAGTAATGAAGATTCAAACAATTGCAGAAGCAGTTTTCACTAAAAATTGAACCTTCAGGAGAGCGTCCCACTCTCCCTTCAGATCTCTTTCATTAATGTGAAATAACTCAAACACTATTCAAGGGTTTACAGCATAGACTCCCTCTACACTCTACTTGAATAGAGATTCACACAATTACTTATCCGACCACAACTCCCTTGTGGATTTACTAGTTCGAATCCCTCAAACTAAACAGAATGAACCTCCGAACATCCTGTGACTGACTTTCAGAATAAGTGTGTATGCAAAAATCTGGCTCCGCTCAATACAAAAAAAAATACACTCTAAAACAAAAGAAATAATTCTTAAATCAAATCAATGATCAAACGGATCTGCATCGAGCTCCTTTTATCCTCCGGCTTCAGAATGGTAAGTTCCTCCTTTTCTTTTCAACCAAGTCAAATATATATATGGTAGGTCGTTATTCTTGGAGCCGGCGATCTTTCTTTTACGTATAAAATATTATATATATATATATAATATTATATATATATAATTATAATAATATTAATATATATAATATTATATATTATAATAATATTATATTATATTATTATGATAATAATATATAATATTATATCATATAATATTAAATAATATAATATTATAATATTATATAATATATTACATATATATAATAACCGTTATATATATTATATATATAATATATAACATTATAATATTATATAATATAATATTATATAATATTATATAAATTATATATTATAAAAATTATTATATAAATTATATATTTTATTTAAATTAATATATTTATAATATATTATATATAATACATATAATAAATATATATTATTATATATTATTATATATATTATATTATATATTATATATTATATAATATAAAACAAAATATATATTATATATATAATATATTATAATTTAATATATAATATATATATTTTATATTTTATATAATATATAATATATATGATATATTAAATTATATATATTATATTTATATAATATATATTATATATTATTTTTATTATATATTATATATTATATTTAATATATATTATATATTATATATTATATTTAATATATATTATATATTAAATTATATATATTATATTTATATAATATATATAATTTAAGTTATATAACGGTTATTATATAAATTATATATATATAATATATATTATATATATTAAATTATTATATATAATATATATATACAACGATTATTATATAAATTATATATATCTAATATAATATATAATATATTATATATTAACCATTATCTATAAATATATATATATATATATATATATATATATGTTATATATATACGTTATAAATAAATTATGAGCTAAGATCATGTGAGAATGGTAGATAGGGAAAGAAATAAGAATGATTTTGGAACATTGGATCTATTATATTAATGGTTAAGATGAAGTCAAAGATTACTAGTTTCAGTCAAACTCGCGGTGGCAATTTTGTAATTATGTGATCAAATTTGGTCAATGGTTTAAATATGAGAGTATTGGTGTAATTTCTTTACTCCACCAACCATCCACTTTATAACTTTGGGTCCCACCACAATCACCCGCTTTTTCTCCCTCATATCAAATACACACATTCCGCAGACATATATCACTCACACACACACACACACACACACACACACACACACACACACACACACACACACACACACACTCTTTCACCGCCGTCGGCCACCACAATCCCAGCCGCCGCTACCAGACCCGATGCCGTCACAGTATGCCGTATCCGTCGCCGCTAGCCCTTCAAGCTCCGTCACAGTGCAGTCGTCCTCTCCCAGTCGAACACTTCGCCACTTTCTCCATTTGTCCATCTCCGCTGTCCTCCGTCCTGCCTCGCCAAGAAGTTCACCTTGTTGTTGTGAACTCCGCTGGAACTAACGGGAACTTATGCTATACGAAAAAAAAGACACTGTGAGTAGAGGCGGAGCGCCGGTATTCTTATTTTCAGAGGAATGAGTCGGGAGTCGATACTTTTACAGCGATGACGGCGGCACGATAACCGGAATGGAAGGTCGGGAAAAAAACGATTGGGGCTGAGACTGAGAGAGACCAGTTCATGACTTTACTGACATTGATGATTGATTTGTGGGGTGTTCTTATGAAAATTAGATTAAGCACATGGACCAATTTGCAATTTTAAAAACTTTATTTATATACCCCAATTTAATAGGTCTAAGCATTTAAGTTTACCTAGGATAACAATTTTCAAATACTTCGATTAGTTCAGTTATTTTAAAAAATAAAGGTGACTTAAAAACTGAAATAACTAAGTTTTTAAAATTAAAAAAAATAATAAAAATAATAAGTGAACCGAAATATAAAATTGTATTTCTTGATATTGTGCAATCGTGTAGTCATTAACGTGTAATCCATATAATCATAATGTGCACTCGCAATACATAAAAACATATAAATCCCAATAATAATATTTTTCATCTAGCTCGATTATTTCAATTTTGATCAAAATATATAAATATTAAAATTATCGAAATAACTTTATTTCAGTTGAAATTATCGAAGTCAAAATGACTTAAATTTTAAAAATAGCCGAAATATTTAAATTCGGACATAAAAAATAAAGTTATTTTAATTTTGATCGTTAATGTGCAGCCAATCACGCATTAATGTGCAATATGTCTAATACTAATGTGCGGTGTTTCAGCCGCTAGTGTGCGTCTGTACCAAACGAACTTTTGCCCAACCAAATTAAAACCGAACTGAATACATGGTTTATTCGGCCGATTAAACCAGTAACTTAATCATTATAAATAATTTTTTTTATTATGAAAAAATATTTAATTTTTGAATAATTTTATTTATTATTTTGTACATTAGTTTTTATTGTAAATACACAATATATGAAATACCAAATTAACGATGTGCATTTCTATAGACAATAATGTGCATTTAATCTAGTATTATTGTGCAATCGATCGCGCGTATCTTTTATGTGCATTTAAATTTTAGAATATTTTTAAGTAACATTTAGCGTGTACAGGGATATTTTTTTTTAAGTGCAATCTTGAACGCGGTAAGGTGCAATGCGCTGAACATTAAAGTGCAACTAGCTGCTTTTATTAATTCATAAATTTAATCCATGACCTAAATTGCAATATAGTTAAAATTTATTAATTTGCAATTACGTCCATTGGTTCCATCTTATTTACAAAAAATAGTATTTTCCCTAATTGCTGAAAATTTTCCAATCCCTAATTCATGTGATATTTGTTCCATCTCTGGCCCAGGCGTACAGCGCCGGCGGTGGGACGGGTGGAACCGGCGGCGGGACGGGTGGAGCCGGCGGCGGGAGTAGACGTCGAAGGGGACGACAGAGATAGCCGACTCGCCGGACATCATTGAGTTGGATTTGGAAGGCGACGGCGGCAGTGGAAGTGTGCAACGGCTGATTTATACGGGGCTGCTGAGGATGAGATGAAGGTACCGGTGGAAGGATTTGGACGGCTGCCATGAGTGGCGCCGAGGAGTTGTCCCGCAGCCATGTCAGACGACGTGACTGTCGTCGAGTTCCTGGTGCTGCTCCACCTCGCGATACCGCCTCTGGTCGAGCGAGTTTAGCGTCGGCGAGTTTAGTGGCGATGACGGCGGCAGTCGATGGCGACGGACGGTGCTGGTTGGAGAGAGAAATCGATTGGTGTGAGAAATTAGTTGGAGAGAAAAAATGCTTGAAGAAGACGACGGGTCTGGGATTGTGAGGAAAGAGAAATTGATTGGGTGCTTTGGGTGGGCGACACGCACGAGATGAGTGTGTGGTGTGTGGGTCCTATTGTTTGGTGTAAACAATTACTGCAATACCATTAATGAAGGTATTATTTAAGTTTTTTTATAGCCATTAGATCATCCAATCTAATGATCATGGTTTATTCTTATTTCTTTCCTTGAGTATCATTCTCACTTGAACCCAACCCAATAAATTATATATATGTTATATATATATATTATTTTCTTTATATATAATTTAGAATATATATATATATATTATTTAATAGTAATGGCATAATAATAAATTCAGTGATAATGTAATAGCATAATGGTAAATTCAGTTATAAAATAAAATAAGAGTATAATGGCATAATAGTAAATTCAACAATAAAGTAAGGGTATAATGGTAAATTCTACGAAAAAGTAACACGTCAGTATTAAAGTAACGGTGTTAACATCAAAGTGCGGGTATGCACGCAGATATTAAATTCAAGGGGGTTTGACGCTATTTTTGAAACACAGGGGGATAACGCGCAGATTTCATATAATACAGGTGGATTTGGTGCAATAAACCCTGTAATTTAGATTTGGTTTTTATACTGTGTTCTTTATGTTCTCCGCATTTTATAACATTTATAATATTGTAATTGTAAATTTTTTAATTAACATGATTAGCATCTTATTTTGGTAGAATATATAAAAAATCCAAAAACGCTCGTGCAAAGCCTGTCCCATCTTCTTTTCATTTACTTTTTGCTCGCTTCAGAGTTTAATTTAATAAAAATAAATTTCTAATCTATATATAATTTATACGGAAAAGTACTTTATTTATCACCGGAAATATCATCGTCATCCGTTGCGAGCTTTCTCTTTGAAACCCTAGCAGTACTAAACCCTAAATCTCGCCCCGTTGATTTTTATCCAAATCGTTATGGCTAAAAAGCGAAAATCCGCCTCAGTTGCCGCCGCCGAGAGTCCTCAGGAGCCGGGACCCGTTCAGACCGAGCAGGAGCCTGAGTATCCCCAGCCGGAAGAACCCCAGCAGGTCCCGGAGGAAGACCAAGGTGTCGGGGACGAAGCAGTCGGCGACGGCGGAGAGGAAGAGGAGGAAGAAGATGAACAAGAAGAAGAGGAAGAGGATGAAGACCCGGACAACGTAGACGAGCAAACCGACGCCGTTCAGGGGGACGCCGGGAACAACGATCAACAAGTTGAATCCGCTGTTAATCCGCCCCAGACCTCGGTCCCAGCAAACGGCAGCGAGGACGAAGGAGATGACGAGGAGGAGCCGCTGGAGAAAATTCTGGAACCCTTCTCCAAGGACCAATTAACGCTCCTGGTCAAAGAGGCGGTCGCAAAACATCCCGATCTAGTTGAGATCGTTCATAATTTGGCGGAATCCGACCCCTCACACCGTAAGATTTTTGTCCACGGGCTTGGTTGGGAGGCCAGTGACGAGACCATCACCACCTCGTTTAGCAAGTATGGTGAAATCCAGGACTGCAAGGTTGTCAAGGACAAGATCTCTGGGAAATCCAAGGGCTACGCTTTCATTCTGTTCAAGCACCGCAAGGGGGCCCGGAAGGCCCTGAAGGAGCCGCAAAAGCTGATCGAGGGCCGGATGGCGTCGTGCCAGCTGGCCTCTGCTGGGCCCGTCAAAGCTCCGACAGCACCTGTGGCTGCTACTGTCCCGGACGCATATGAATCAGAGTATACAAGGAGGAAGATATATGTGAGCAATGTGTCCCCCGAGATGGACCCGAATAAGCTCCTGGAATTCTTCTCAACATTTGGGGAGATTGAAGAAGGCCCGCTGGGCCTGGACAAGCAGACTGGGAAACCAAGAGGGTTCTGTCTGTTTGTGTACAAGTCTCTTGAGAGCGCAAAGAAGGCCCTTGAGGAGCCTCATAAGACTTTCGAAGACCACACCCTACACTGCCAGAAGGCTGTGGATGGGCCCAAGCACTCCAAGGGCTTTTTCAGCCCCCAGCAGAGCCAGACGCCACGTCAGCACCAGGGGAACTGCCGTCACACAGCCAAGAAGGGGAGGTATTCTTCTGGAAGTGGTGACGGCATGATGCCTGCAGGGGGGCACTTGATGGCACCCAACCCAGGCCAGGTGGGTTATAATCAGGCGGTGGCACCTGCGGCTATAGGGCAGGCTGTGGCAGCTTTGTTGGCCACTCAGGGGGCCGGGTTGGGTATTGGGAATTTGCTGGGAGGAATTGGTGCTGTTGGAAATCCGCAGGGAGGGCCACCGATTATGAATAACACGGGTTATGGTGGTCAAGGTGGTGGGGGGTATGTGGGCCAGCCGGGGATGCAAGGAGGTTATGGAGGCCAGCTGCAGATGGGACGAGGTGGGGTTCGTCCACATCAGGGTGGTGCGCCTTACATGGGTCCAGGTGGTCACTAGGTAAGTTGAAAGGTATGTTGAGATGTTTTTGTGGCTGTTATGAAGCTGTTTTAGCAGCTGACCATGTATGTGATGCTTTTCGAATATTTTAAGCGTGCTCGACTGGTTAGATTTTGTGTGACCTGTGGCTTGTTGAGTCTGCATCGCCAAGTATGAAGGGATATGGATAAAAGATGCAACTGTTAGATAAGAGTATAACTAACAAGATCACATTGTTGGTATTACCTTTTCAATTTTGAATCTGTCCTCTAAGGTTCTTGAGTGGGTTTTTTGTGTGTCGGAGTTATACTTATCACAGAGCAATGGTGCTATTTGTTATTCCAACCTAAAGCTGAAAAAAGTCTGCACATAATCGAACCTTTCACTTGTACAACTTTTTTGTCTTCTTGTCCGACCTTAAGATGGTTAAACTATGACGAAACATGTTTTTTCTCACCCAAAACAACATGTTTTTTCTCACCCAAAACCTACTATAAATTATATCCACCTTGTGGTTTGGGTTGCTTTTAATGATTTTGTGTGGATTTTGCTGTTTTATTTACCTATTGTGAACATGTTAAATTGTCTTAATGACTATGTAGTCATTTGGAATGCATGCATTTTTCTTAGGTCAATGATGCATTATGGATGCTATTGCATATATATGGTGTGATATCATGCAATATTATAAAGTCAAGCCATTGGTACGCTACTATATCTACTTGTCTCCCCGCATTGCACAAATTTGCTAGTTTTAAAGTGTGTTCTTCGTATGTCCTTATAACTTAGCTTGCGTTCAGCATAATTATGCTGCTGCTTTGATATTTTTTTTTGCCTTTTGTTTTTCATGCTTTGTTTGCTTATCTAACCTAAAGCTTCTTGCGTAGATGGATAATATGTGTGACTACATCTTGATTTCTGAGCTTGTTCATAGCTTGCGGGTGGGAATTAATCTTCTTTTCAAATTAATATTTTATATCAAATGTATTTACTTTGCAGATTCTTCAAAAAATGCCACAAACTTTTAAGTTTTGGACTCTGGTGATTCTTCTGAAGTTCGAGCTCTCATGCAATGACGTCTTCCTTGCACCAAAATATTTTCCATTTATTTAAAGACTAGAATATAAAACATGTATTTCATATTTATCAAATACTTTTATCTGAGTATTCCCTAGTCAAATTTCTGATTTTTCATTTTGAGTAGAAACTTTTTCAAGCATTAATAACCATGATAACAATCCTGCATGTGTTTATCCTAGACCAAAAGGTTGCTAATCATTTGTGTTTCTGTACTTTGCATTAAGTTTTTGTTATATGGGTATTACAAAGAAAACTCAGCCTTTAGGTCTGTGTTATTAAGTTCGTTTATATATATATATATATATGTGTGTGTGTGTGTGTGTGTGTGTGTGTGTGTGTGTGTGTGTGTGCTCTAGCTCCACTCATTGGTTTACGCAATTTGACGGCAAACATTCATTTGCTGGACCTTTTCAATAGTTGACCTCATCTGCAGTGGCTTTCTTGTCAACTAACTAACACAATATTTTGATCTTTATGTGCTTTCTCTCTCTTCGGAATGTTTATATTGCAGAAAAGCTTTGGTGTTACTGTGGCCACACTCTTTGCATTGTGTGTGTTGTTCACAAACCTTTATAAGCTCAAGCATTTGCCAATCTAATTGTGTACTACTTGGCTAGTATTCCCAGATTGGAAAAATGAATGAGATCAATTGCCATTTGGCACTTGATATCTTGTAGGTGTTTCTAGCAGCTTCAATTTTTTTGACCAAAGTAGAATCATTTTTCGAAGAATAATAGGAGTGAGAATCTTCAATAGGACACTAAAAATGTCTATTTTTTGTTCTAAATCTCTCCCCCCGAACCTTTACGCGATATCTCCCACCTTGTGCTCCTGAGTTCTGCTAATTTTCAACAGGAAAAGAGCCTTCATTTTCTTATACCTGTACTCATTTCTCCAAGGTTACTATGCCTAAATAATTATTTCAAAACGAGGGCTATGTGGAAAGTTATTGGTGTTTGTTTTATTTATATTGATTAAAAAAAAAATCTTGAGGTTCATGCTATTTACAGAAGCATTCTAAGTCTCTCCTAAACTAGGAATAATTTCTTAACATCTGTTTTCTGGGTTACAAAACATTCTTAAGGAGGTTAGAAATGGATATTTGTAAAGCAATGCAAACTTCAAAATGTGTGGTATGTAGTATACCATGAAGTTTTTTCCTTTTTTTTTTTTTTGGGAGTTTTTTGAGAACCGGTTAATTAAGACAATCAGCTACGATGATGGGAGTTTCTGCGGCTTTGTGGTCAACCGTTCTTGCAGTAACTGAGCCGGGCTGAACGAAGCTTGCTCTGAGGGTGTTTCGGTTGTGTCGGCAAAGATTGGATTGTCAAGTCGGAGTTTGATCTTTTGCTTAAAATCATGGTATGAGAGTGTTTGAAATAATCAACTTTTTTTCATATTGAATCATTTCTACTTTATTAACGTGGAAATGCATTTCTATGGTTATAAATCATTAGTTTCCATTGTGCTGAAAACCATGTTGTATATGGAGCTGAATGGTGCAAAATTGATCGAAATGAGTAGTGTCCCAGATTTGTTTTGCGTCATGTTGTGTTTGATGCTAATATATTTAATTGATAAATTATATTTTCAAACAATAATTAAAACTAAAAAAAAAAAAATCGCAGCAAAAAAATAATATCAATTTTTTCGTTTCAATTATTCTATCATTTTTTTGGCTAACTATGGTAACAGGTTATTCCATTTCATATTAATTAAGTAATAATTAGATATATATATTTTTTACTATTAAATAATATAATAGTTATTAAGGTTAAGTAACTCTGTATCACATTAAATTATACATGAAGGTTACATAAATAAATAAAAAATTATATTGCAAAACTTTTTATTCAAACTATCTATTAGAGATTAAAAGTATAATTTATTTTAAACGGATTGTTAAACTCCTTAAAATCACATTGTTGTTGTACTTTTGATATATTTCAACTAATTCGTTGGTAGTGATGAGCAAAATCAAAGAAAGTTATTACCCATACATTTTATACAAACAATGAATGATCAAATTTTTAAAATGTGATACAATTATTTAATTTATAATTTTTATTTTAAGGGGGAGGGTTGCGTTAGGTTGGCGACCAATATAAACTTTGTCATTCTTATGACTATGGATCACATAAGATATCGTGTGAAGTTAACATGCCACCAGATGTAAGTGGAGCTCTGCAAGGTCTGACTGCGTCGTCTTGGCAAGGAACGCTACCATGAGAAGGAGAAGAGTAAATATAATTAGCTTACAAGAACCAAATGAGTATGAGAAAGAAAGCAAAACTTTAGATAGCACGGGGGATAAACTTTAGTATAGCGAGAAAGATAGAAATAAATAATGGGGTAGGCATTATAGAATATGCTTTATTAAAGACCAAGTAGTAGGGGTGGTTAGAAAGGGAGATATGATTATAACTTTAAATATCTTTATAGAAGATGAACCCTTAAATATAATAAGTGCTTATGCACCCCAAATAGGACTAGGTGAGTCAATTAAAGATTAAATTTTGGGAAGACTTGGAGTCTTTCTTTCATCCAAGCAATCCCTCAAAATAAGAAAATCCTCTTTGGAGGGGATTTAAATGGGCATCTAGGAGAGAGTAACTTTTACTATGAGAGGATTCATGGGGATTTTGGTTTTTGAGTATCAACTAATGAAGGTAATATTCTAGACTTTTTGGTGGTGTATGATTTCATCATATGTAATACATATTTAATAAAAAAAAAAAAA